ATGGGGGGTTACCTTTTTGCCTAGGGCCCAGCCTCGGGGCCTAGGCCCCTCCTTCTAGCCCCAAGCCAATACAGAAGCAACACGTCAAAAAGAGTGCAGCGAAGAGTTTAAGTGCTAGAGCAGTGCGACCTAGAGAACGTGTGTTTTTCTGTGATTTTTTTCTTAAAACAGCGTTCTTGTGTCGCTTTTTCCCTCTTTTTTCTTTGGAAGATTTGATTTGAATGTGAGTTCCAAAAAGAAATATGAGTTCTTGACACAAGTTTGAAGATGTGGGCTGTGCGCGGCGGCTTCAACTTGAAGCTCTTCAGGTACAAAATTTCCGTAGCAGAATGCTGCAAAAGCGTCAAAAGCCAGTTCCAGTCCGAGCGTGCAGGAAAAAAAACTAGAGCACACGTTGCTGTCAAATTTTTTTAACAGCGTCCAATGCAGCTATTTCCGACAAGCCACTTCCTGTGGCAGGCCGTTTCCTACGCCTGCACTCCCTTGTTCTAGCCAAGCCACATGGCTCCGTGAGAAAAATACTTCCAATCTGCCAAACCAAATATGTGTGTTGTTTGATGAATGGGGGAAAAGATTTAGATTTTAAGCTCACTTCAAAGATTGGAGATTCGGAAAGGAATCTACAGGGGCGTCAAGAATTCTTGGAGAATATCATAGCATCATGACACATCTTTTGAACAAGGAACCCTGCGCGATAGTGTCGGTAGTTAGCCAGGCTTCTAGTAGATTCTGTTTTAACCATTGAGTTCACAAGTGCCTTTTAGGGTTGGAATGAAACCTTCAGGTTCGTTGTTGTGGCAGGTTCCGAGATCGGTGATTTGGACGGCTCAGTTTTGGCAGTTCTTGCAGACTGCACGGGCTTATACTATGCTTACACTTGTGGCCGCTGGGCAACAACTCTCTTCAGGGAGAAAGCCTCTGCCCCTGCCAAAAGTTGGTATTTGGGTCCAGATCCAGGCTCCTTTCGACTTGCAAGGCCTATATTATAAAGCCGTACAGCAGCTTCATAACACCATCCCTAATTACATCTATTCTGTGGTTGTGTTTGCGAAAGGTGCTTTGACCATCTTTGTGTGTGAAAAAAATGATTGCCAAGACCTGCGCCAAGCATGTTCGACCGCTGCGAACACTTTTGTGTTTCAAGAACTCGGAGTCCTTTTTTTTTCCCCTGCAATGCCCTGTAATCACAGAGATGAGGGCCTTTGGCCCTTGGCTTCCGTTGGTGGACCTTGCTTGTCCTGCCACTCGTGTGGCTTGCAAAATGCATTCTCAATTGTCGAAACCCCATGTGCGCATGAATTCTCTGCAGCAACCAACGGTTCCGTGTACCATCCTAAATCGTTTCTTGATGTTTGAGACTCCGGCTTTGAAGCCAGTGCAAGTCATTCCCAAGCTAAGCATGCTTGGAGTGTCATGGACCATGCTGATTACTCGGATCATGTTCGTTCGTCAAGAGGACCGAAAGCAAAGCCTGCATGCCAAGCCCTCCGATCCAAGAAACAAATCAAATCTCGAAACTCTTAAAACTTCAACCCCAATTCCTAAACCCAACTTATGCTTCGAACAAATGTCGCGATCGTTGAAGCAGAGCTTGGGGAGCGCGGCCTCTGCCTCGAAGCGATGAGGTGATGGCCCGGTTTCTGGGATGCCCTTATCAAGAAGTCATCAATATGTCGTTGTTGTGATATTTGGTCTGAAAATCATGGTGTGCTCGTCTTGCCATTTTTAGCATTGCTTTTGTTACAGATATGACTCCTGAATTTCTCGTTGTCCTAGTGTAGTCCTTCTTCTCTGGCAGTTTCTGGTATGATACAAATGGACATACAAAGAACATCCAGAACATAACGTGGTTCTGGGTTTGCATGAGGATGCTTGAAACATGGGGTGGGCTGGGGTGTTGGAGGGATTGTCGGGCCTTCAGAAACTTTAGCGTGGCCGGGTTTGGGTTCCCAACCCTACATCGTAAATTCTCAGCCCCCAACCTTAAACCCTGAACCCATCCCACAGCAAAGGCTCTCGACATCGTCTGGGAGATGGTTCCTAGCAGCGACCACCCTGCTAGCCCATGTCCACAGCTCCGGATCGGTTCCCCGGCTCCCCAAGTTGTTTCAAGCATGTGCCTCTCTCTGTGTGTGTGTGCGCGTGCTTGCGCGGGGCTTTGTGTTCTTGTTTTGATGTCTTTTCATCAGAGCTGCTCAAAAAATGATCAACGGTTTATGCATTCTGGGGCTTCGGGTTCGGAGGGTCCCCGGAGTAATTTTTTGAATACTCTGAGCAACAAGCCTCCAAATTTAGGAAGCTGATTCCCAGCGAAGTCCCCAACACTTCCAAGCCGCAATTAAACGCATCAACCTTGCAGTAGCTGTCAAGTTCTTCACCACAGACTCCGGTGCAATGATTTTCCTTCAACATTTTCATCCTCGTGACTCACTGTTCAAGAGCATCAACCTCAGGTCTCGTTCAGACCAAAGCGTTTGAACGCGACGGCAGTAGTACTTTCAACAGTCAGCACCATCATCGTTGTTGCTGTCGTTATCATCGTCGTCGTCATCATCACCACTGTCATCATCAGCGGCATCATCATCGGATTGGGTCGTTCATCACTGCAATCGTCATCGCCGCTTTGTCATCGTCATAATCGCATTACCATCATCCCCCCTCGTCGTCATCATCATTGTCATCGTCATCTTGATCACCACCACCACCAGCCAGCCGGCCAGCCGGCCAGCCGGCCAGCCGGCCAGCCAGCCAGCCAGCCAGCCTTCCTTCCTTCCTTCCTTCCTTCTTTCCTTCCTTCAGTGCATCCACCGGCGCGAGGGGAAGGTGTGCTTTCGCAGCCCTGACGAGAGGTGCCTGTCCATCCACCCAGCTAGCCAGCCAGCTTCATATCCATCCATCCATATCCATCCATGTCCATCCATATCCATCCAGATCCACCCATATCCATCCATATCCACATCCATAGCCACATCCATATCCGTCCATCCATCTCCATCCATCTCCATCCAGATCCATATCATCCATATCCATATCCATCCATCCATATCCATCCATCCACAACCATCCATGTCCATATCCATATCCATATCCATATCCATCCATCACCCACCCACCCACCCAGCCAGCCAGCCAGCCAGCCAGCCAGCCAGCCATCCATCCATCATCATCGTCACTGCTGCCTTCAGACCATGACGAAGGGCGTTTGCTTAGAGAGCATGGTGAAAGTCCGTGAAAATTTTAGATTCTGAACCCTTAGCCGAAACTCTGCAATCCGAAAGGATAGCACATCCCGAAGAATTGAACTCAAGATCTGCCAAACCTTGAACACCGAAGTCCCAAGCCCTAAAGCCTCCGACCCCAGGAAGTCTTCATTGCACTTTAAAAAACAGCCTCCGAGCCCAAAGGAGTTCCACTCCATCATCCTTCGCAGCAGCAGTCGGCTCACTGAGCCACCGGTTATCATCGGAAGCTCAGCGGCGCTGGACTGCTGTAGCAGGCCGCTCTTTGTGTTCGGGCTGTCCTAGGCCCACAGGGCCAGGGCCGTTTATGTGGACCGATTTTCATGTCATCGGCGTTTGTGGTGCTAGGCTTCAGATTCTTGCCAGGCCAGGCGGTTTGTGCGTCAGGGTCTGCAGTGTGTAGCCTTCCAGTGGCGGGTTTCGGAGGCCTTTTGAACCGGGAGCTTGGCAACTTGTTGCGAGAGAGTTGGCTGTTTCCTGGCAGGTTCATGAGTTTCGGGCGGGCCTTCAAGCAGACCTACGAAATCTACATCGAGTGGGTTCAAGAAAGGGGCGGTCTGCTTGTGAATGGCACCTGGCGGCCAGTTGAGATACGAGTGGGAAACGACATGTCAGAGGCGGAGAACGTGAGAGCGGTCTTCGAGAGGCATGTTCACGACGGTGTGAACCTTTGGCTCAGCACCTACTCTTCTGGGCTGTCTCTGGTGGCAGCAGATGTGGCAAACAGCTCTGGTTCCTTGTTGGTAGCCCACTCAGCAAGTTCCACTGCCATCACCAGAGATCGCCCGACTGTTTTCAATGTCAACCCACCTGCGCGGAACTATATGAGGGGCTCGTTCGAGGCCTGTTGCAACGAAGCTTCGAGTGCTCTTGCTTGAAGCCCACAGATTCCACAGATATGTCAAGCCCTCAAGAAGACGTGAGAAACTATTTGCGACGACACCCCAAAGCCCTGCAGCCTCGTTTGTCCCGAAACGCAGAGCCCGCTGTGCTGCATGGATAGGGATGTCTACGGAAAAACCGCCCCCTTGGTGCGAGGCCCTCGCCGCCAGCGGGATTGGGACCATCGCTGGTTTCTACGAAGCCAGCGGTGGGCCGAGGGCGGTTTGCCGCCCACTGCAGGCGGGTCAAAGGGTGTAGGCCTTGTATAGGGTTTTCTGGGTGTGGGGGCTTTTTAAAGCCTTGCGGCTTGGGGAGAAACACAGACGTTCTTTCGATCTTCGCTTTTTGAGCGCATGTTGATGGCTTAAGGCCTCTGCGGGAACACGCAAATCCTAAACTCTCAAAGGTAGCCACCTTTTCGCTGCCTTGCCAACCTGGGGCACGGGAACACGATGGGGAACACGATGGACCCCTAAAGCCGGAACCCTGCTGAATCCTGAAATCGTTCCGTGTGTGCTTCCAGTGCGAGGGTGGCTTCACCAACTGCCGCTACGAAAGGGCAGAAATCAAAGCCTCTGTGTGATGACTGCGACTAATTGCTACTCCCAAGATTCCTCACACTACGACTTCGGTAGGTATGCTTAGTCTTTTTTTTGGCGCTCTCCCACCTGCTCATGCTGTTGAGTTGCTCTTGCACCGAGATCCGCCGAGGCCTGAACCCTGAATCATCCTGAATCCCTCATGCCCAAGACCCTGGAAATCAAAATCAGCGCAGCTCTTCCGCCAAGAGGACCTCGCATCGGAGTACAACATGACCTTGCTAAGCAACCGGGAGATCCCCTTCTCCGCAAATGGATCCGTCGTGAAGGAGCCTTGGAGTTAGGATTGTTCCGGGGTGTTAGTAGGCTCTGTTGTTGGGGGATGGGCCACTGCCAGGACCTTCCAAGGAGAACCCTAAGTCTCGGGGCTTTGGTGCTGCGAAGGGTTTTGGGGCTTTTGAATTCTAGGAGGTTCTAGGATTAGTGGTGGTTGAGGGTTTTGCCAGACCTCCAGGAATTTTCCCGGCAAATCCTCAAAGCAAAGCGCGAGAAAACAGGCTCCCACAGCCTGCCACCAAAGGCCTCACCGTCACCACCGTCACCGTGAAACCCTTGAAGCCTAAACCTCCCTAAGCACATGTCTGTAAGCTGGTCTCGTTCTGCTTGCCCTGCTTCCATCTGCTCCCCCCCACTCACATGCTGAGACTCGATCCATATCATGGTGTCTATCCCTATTTTTCCTGAACTCATGCATGCCGAAGCCCTTGTGAACCCGACGCTCCTCCAGGACCTGGTAGCAGGCCTCAAGTCTGAACGTCCCGATGCCGTTTTCGGGTGCGTCTACGAGCAGGTGTGCCACGAATTCGTGGAGGACGCCGCGATATGAGATGGGGGTTGCTTGATATTCGGGGTCCCTCCTTACTGCTATTTAATTAGCGATGCTTATATGAAGGATCCTGCAGTTTTGAGTCCTTGTTGAGGCCCCCCATTTCCGATTCTCCTCAGGCTCACAAATTACATAGTGAAGGCAGCTAGGCGGCTGAATGATTGGTTGGCAGTGTGTCCGAGGGTTTATATTTAGGACCGCACGGCAGTTTTCCTCCTTCCGTTCTCTTGACACTTTAACTGCATGTAGTGATTGTGCCGGCAGTATCTTGAGTGAGAAGTGGTGTTCAGAACGCCAGGGTTTGGGCCGGATAGGGTTGGACTTCGGGTCCTGCATTGGGCTGGCGGTGTCGGTTTCGCTGTCCCTGAACCCGAGGCTCGAAGCCCTTAACCCGAAGCCGCAAATCGAAGCTTTCAAACACTCAGCCTAAAGCCAACACCTTCAACCAGACGCCCCTAAGCCCAAGACCTGAAGCCCCAAGAACTCTAAACGGCCTTAAGTTGAGTGCTTAAGCCTTCCAGCCCGAAGAACCTCTCAAACGGCTCCCAAGGAGATGCTTGAGCAGCAGTTCGAACCCAAGGCGTGGTTGCACGCAAGCTAGGAGCCTCAACAGTGGGTTCACCTTGTTTTCCTTGCCTTGAATCCTCAGCCACAGCATTGCCGGTTTAGACGGTAGACTGTCGAGGCGCAGGCGCCACGAGACAGGAGCCCCGATCCAAAAGCCCAAACCCATCCAAACTCTAAATTGTTTCCCCATGAACCCCACACCCCTCTATATACCGAACCTGTATCCGTAAACCCGAAAAGTCCAACAGTTTGGACAGGCCGTGATTTTCACGGTCTGCGTGACGTCGGACAGCATCTCACAGCTGGGGGCCAAGGGGAGGCCTGATGCTCCGCCATTGCACATTCGAAGCTTTCGAGTTCCTCATTGCCTCAACCAGCCAGATCCTGCTTTGATAAGACTTTATGGAATCCTTCCAACCGTAGTTTAGAGCGCTCAAAGAGAAAAGTGTGTTTTTGGGCTCTGTTGGGAGATCGTCAAAGCAAGTTTTGAACAAGTATAAACCCTAAAGCACTTGGAACACTGAAGCTTAAGTCAGCCATTGGGGTTTCAGCAGGGCCTTGCCATTGGCTTCAAGACTTAAAAGTAGGATGTTCGTGATTCGTATCCTCGTACGAACAAGGAGTGCTTCGCTGCACTCACCAGAACCGTAGACTTTGAGAGTCTGCCTCGGCTGCGTGGCCCCTGGGGTCCGGGTTGCAGAGACGCCAAACCTGGGTTTTCGGGCCTTCAGGGCTTGGTGTCCAAGGCTTCTGCTTTTCCATTCCGGGCTCGGCGGTGGGGAAGTCAAGCTGTCCCGCATGTATTCAGCACGATAAAGCCAGTAATGCCTGAACATACAGGTTTTGGAAGCGTTTAAGGCAGATTCGCTCGAGCCTAACTCGAGAGTGACACTGTGCAGCCCGTTCTGGATTCCTGGGTCAACGTCAAGGTTTAAGTCCAGAGTTTAGGTTGGGAACGCTCCAAATCACACCCGTTTAAACTTTAAACTGATTAGAGGACATATCCGAATATTGCAGAGCCTTAACAAGCAGCCGGGAGGTGGCTGACCGGGGTGACTTCGTGGCTGCCCTCCATGCCACACCAGTCGGAGGAGACGGGCTTTTCCGCTGCAGAGTTCGGCGCCCTTTACAGGCCTCGCACTGCAGGGGTGCTTCCGAACCGGTTGTCGGAGGGTTTACTGTTGCGGGTTGGCGTCCGGTGTTGGAGGAGTTGGTTCGGTTTGGGGATAGAGCCCTCGATCCACCCAAACCTTTAGAACGCAGGTCCAAGTACACGGAGGACCCGCCGTACCAAGCTGCTGCTGCATGGGCTGCCATCGTCAGCTTGGGGAGGCCGGGGCTGTTCAGGGTTCACGATGCAGGGACACTTGTTGTGTGGCACGTGATGGCAGAACTGCAGGGCTGTTGAGATGGCGAACTCGACGGAACCAGCTGTGGTCTCCGCCCAGCTGCACCGTGCCGGAATCCGGGCGCCGGGTATAGTATAGGGTTCAGGGAAGCGCATTAAGTGTTGCATGTCTCAGGCCCAGAACCCGTAGGCAGAGAGCGGGACCTTCGAGTTCAGTGCCTTAGATTCTAAGTGAAGTTCTAAACCAAGCAACCTCGACTGGGGTACTTGGAGCGCTGATAGGCAAGTAGCCAAAAGCATTGCCCCTGAAGAACAACATGCAAGATCCCACGCTTCAAGCTCCAAAACTCCTTAAGCCCAATGTCACCCCTGCAGCCCGACAAGCAAAAGTGCTACATCCTTCACTCTCGGCAGGCCTTCTTTCCTGGAGCCCTTTAGCATGATCTCTCCTAAACCCTGAACCTCATGCAAAGACTGAGCAAGAAAGCCCCAGCCCTACAAGCTTTGAGCCGCAGAGTACGACAAGTTCCTACAAAGACTCCAACAAATCCCAAACACTAAATCCCCGACAGACCCTCAAATCCCTTAATGCCAAACCTGAAGAGACTCTGAATCCCGACACCACACTCGGAGCTTCCCGAGGCAACGTCTGGACCTGGAAACGCTGTACGGCCGAGTCTCCTTTGACGACCCCGGCCCGAATGTCTCGTTGCATGGGGTTCCCCAAATGTTAAACCCTATATTGTTGAGTCCACCCAGGCCAAAACCCTAGAAACCTTGAGTCCTAGACACCCTGAACCCCAGCTGCGAACGCAGTCTCGTCGGGGGTTCCTGGGAGTAAGGATGGAGGGCGTTCGGACTTTCTTGTTTTGCTTGGGATAGGTTATGGGATATATTATATATTGTAGGTTGTCGAGGAAACGGATTCTGGCAGTTGAAGAACTGCTTCAAGGTTGGAGAGGTAGGTGACGTTGCAACGTTTTCGCTCGTTTCAACTGTGGAGCTCTGTTTTCACGCCAAATCTCAAAGCCATAACCTCAGACTCTAATTCCGTATGGGCCTGCACGCAAGAGTCCCAGGAGCACGGCCAAACTCCGATGAATTTCAAGGCTGTTCAGCTGCAAGAGGCCTTTGTGCAGAGTTTCGCCGGGCTTGCGGGAAAGTGCAGAAAAAAAGGAGTCACCAGGTTCAGGGCTCCGCCGTCGCGGATCTGATCAGGCTTTGGGTCAAGGAACATGCCCACAGGCTTTCGGAGAATTCCGTGCTAGGGATCATCTCATTGAGGTGAAGAAAAGGGTTCTATTCGAGGCGCGTTGCTTTGCCCACGCTGAAGTTGCAGGGTTTGGTACACCTTTCATGCTAGAGCCCAGACCCCAATCCTGAAACTGTAGATTGAAGCGTGGAAGACTCCAAAATCCCAGTTGTTAGCAGATCCTTGGTATGCGAAGGATAACCCTTGCCCTAAAACCCTCGTCAGGTGGGCATGCCGCCAGCGGTCGTGTCACCGTTGCACAAGGCCGTCGCGCCGTTGCGGCTCATGCCGTCCTCTTCAGAGCGGCAGTGCGCCAGTGAGGCAGTCGGTGATTCAATGTTTAGGTCTCTTCTGAGAGTTACCATAATGTGGTTTTGATGTGTCATGTGATGCTCTTGTTTGAATAGGGTTTTGCCTCTGATGCTTGTTAGCATGATAACTCAAAAAAGTCCGAAGCAAGGACCCAGTTCATGGGTGTGAGCTTCACGCTGCTGACTCATAAAATGAAAGTTTTTCAACTTAAAGACCCCGTTTCCGAGAAACTTCGTCCCCAGACCCTGAAGCATATCCTAACATATAATTAGCAGCCAAGCCCAAACTCTAGAAGCCTGTTCCACTCCGAAAGCCTCCAAGCTTCAATACATCCTTTTGTTTCTTCAGAAGCTGTTTTGATGCCTCGAAGCCCAGCCGAGGCCCGGAAGGAGGGCCTCACGTAGTGGTTCTGAAGCTTCTGTTTCAGGGTTCAGGGTCAGGTCCGGTTCCGAACAGGGCCGTGGTGGAAACGTCATCTGGTGCCCAGGGCCTTAGCCCGAACTCGGCGCAGCACCTGTGGGTCCAAACACCTGAATGTCTGACCCTAAACACACGAACTTGGAAGCTAAGCCCTCAAGCCCGACTCCTCGAAGTCAACGTCACAAGTCTCTCGTATAGAGCTACAAAAGGCCCCTGGGCTCCCACAATCCTTTCAGTAAACGGCTTTTTCAAGCCACCTTGGGAGGCACCCTCTGCTTTTGGGAACGACGAGTCTGGGACCTGTGTGAGGCGGGTAGATGGCTGCTGTGGGTTGGCCCAGAAGCGCGCACCGCAGCAGGCCCAAAGAGCTTCAAACCCCACGATCCTGAACCCTACCATCGCCCCGCAGGTTGGGCATTCTGTCTTTCCAGGCTCCAAAGCGCAAAGCCTAAGTTCCCAAAGCGGTTAGAGCCAGAAACGGTAAAGCCAGCAGCCACGTCCCACAGGTTTTTTGCAAGCTCCGGATGCAGGTGTCCCGACAGCTCTTTCTCTTTGTGGAATCGCTCCCTGCGGGTGCGACGGTGCATCTTCTGCCCTCCGGGCGGCTCCCTGGACCAGGAGTTCGGAGCTCTTCTTTTAGGCCAACGGAAAGTTGAGATTTGGAAGGGTTCGAGTCGAATTCTTCCCGTTCTTGTTGGCTTACCGGGCTGTGGGATGTTGATGGATCTTTACCCCTCGCAGGATGGCGTTTGCTTGCCCTGCGCGCCCGGGAAGGCCAGGCTCCTGTGGAGGGCTCCGCCCCCCACAGAATCAAAGCCGTGGCAAAGTAACTCAGAGTTGACAGTAGGGTTTTACTGCGCGGATGAAGAGGCACCCTTGGCATGAAAACCTAGCGGACCTAGCGGTCATGAAACGTGCAGCCCCGGGCCCCGCCAATGGTCACAAGGTCTGCAGCTCTGAGAAAGGTAGAGTTGAGAGTTGAGATACATGGTTTGAAGACTATGTTCGGAACCTCCCCTCGCAATGTCAGCTCCTCAGCTACCCTCTAAACAGTCAAGCCTGATTCACAAAGCTCCAAATGCGTGTTGCAGGTGTCCATCACGGCGGGCCAGATGGCCTGCACCAACTGCAGCGCAGGCTGTGCCTGTTGAGTTCAAGACATAGTGCGTAGGGTTCAGGGTGCATGAGTTCGTGTTTGGACTTGGTGGGTTTAGGATTCAGGGTGTATGGGTGTTGATTGTTGGCGTGGTCTTTAGGTTCTGGGCCTCTCATGCTCAATGGCATATTCGTACAGTGGATCCTGATGGCCAAAGTCCCGAAGCTCTCATGGCTTGGGTTTGGAGCCTAAAGATTTCTTCAACCGTCTCCGTCTCTCGGCACAATGCGGAGTCAATTGGAACACTCTCAATTACTTAATGTCGCCCCCCTCTCACAACACCCCCCCCGTGCTGTTCAACGTCTCCAAGTTTCGGATCAGGGCTAAAACCCCCTGCAGAACCGTGCAAGAGCGTTAGAGAGCTCTTTCCTTGACCTTTGCTCAAGCATGGCCAGGTTACTATGCGGACTCCATGGGGCAAAGCCGCTGCGAAATCTGCCCGGTGGGTACGTTCAGCAGCTCCAGTGGGCTGACGCAGTGTACGAACTGCACCGCCGGGTTGTTCAACAACGAGGCCCAGCATGGCCCAGCAGCTGGACTTCGGGGGTGTGGTTGTGTCAGGGCTTCGCGCTTCCAAAGAACCGCTCATCGAGCCCCAAGCATTGGGATGCAAATACCCCTGGAGCCGAAGCAAGTCGAGGTCATTTGAGGTCTGGAGTCCCAGATTTATCAAGATCGCAAACGTCCCATGAGGTGACTCGAATGTAGGAGCAATAGTTGACCAAGTATGGGGTTTTCGGCGGATGTTACAGACCCCTGCAGAATCTCACGGAGGCATTTCCGTCCAACCAATCGAAAGTTACTCCCTGCCCGTTGTACATAGACCGCAAAAGATTCGATACTATCTCCTGAACCCCAAGCCCAAAATTAGCGTAAATCCTGCGTCCGAAATCCCGACCTCGGAACCCGACCTGAGCCCTGAAGCCTCGAAGACGGTCTTCCCCGACAGGCTGCCCAGACTTCCTGCCGGAGCTGTGCCTCAGGAACCATCAGTACAGAGGAGCCGGCTTAGGGGGGTTTCAGGACTTTACAGTTTGAGGATGTTGAGAGCGTCTAGGTCTGTCTAGGTTTTCCCAGCCCATAATCTACGGGTTGAAATTCAGGGTTCAGGAGTCTAGGCTTCTGTTTTTCAGGTCTCGGAAGTCTGTGGCACTGGGTTTCATGCTTAGACTCGGAAGAGGGGCGGCATCGTGTTTGTCGGAAAAGCTAGTGAAGGAAGGTTCGTGCTGTGATTGCTTGCTTGACTTGGCAGCGTCTCGGTGCGGTTTAAGTTGTAATCTGAATGAGAGCACGTCTAGCGCCAGTTGCGGCCTGCTTACCAGATCCCACTAGCTAAGTAAGCCCCCCCCCCGCATACCGGATCTGCTCGATTTCAACAGTCGGAACCCAACGAGTTCAGTGAACCATCTGCTCGCAGCGCTGAGCCTGAGAGCAAAAGCCCGAAGTAGAACCACGCCTCAAGCCTAACACCCCCAACAAAGCTCACCAAACCCTTGACAACTCTGCATCGCTCGACTTCCCAATGCCCCGAGAAGCACTCAGGGATAACAAGCCGGCAGATGGGTGTAGTGAATCCCAATTGCTGCTCCAGTCCTCCAGCATCTACATGCAGACAGATCCTCATGAACTGCACTCCGGACTCCAGAACAAAGGCTCTGCTTGGCTCTGCCAGGATGCGGCCTCGAAGTGCACGCCCTGCAGCTCCGGGGAGACCCTCGGACTAGGATGAAAATATTTGGGTTCCTTTTTTGGTGCTCAGCTGGTCTTCTCTTGGAGTCGGCTTTCGGGCTTGAGAAACCAAGGTCTCGTGGTTCCAGGGCCGAGGGGCGCGGGCTTGAGGTGTTGGCCTTCGTATCCTCCTCTTTCTTTTCGTTGCCGGATGTTCTTGAATGTTCTTGAGCCAGACTCTCTCCACCTCTTCTTCCTTTTCTCGTTGTTTATTCTGCTCGCTTTTGTTCTTCAGCCCACCCCCCTTCTGCAGGTATGCGCCAAGCTTCGGCATGACGTTCTGCAGCCAGTGCCAGGTCTCCTGTTTGGGGTCTTACGCGTGTAGGATGTTGGGGTTCTCTTGGCTTGGAGTTCTCGAGGTTTTGCTAGGGCAACTGGGGTTTTCGGAGAGCTGCGAGGGTGTTCCCCACCAGCTGTGGGTTGCAGGTGACCATTTCGGCGTTGATCCCGGGAGGTATCAGACACGAGAAAGTCTCGAAGCTTTCCTGTGTTGCCCCCGATCTCCGTTGCAAGGGGCAGGATATTTCAGGTTGAATTTCGTAGGTGTATCCATAGCCGGCAGCTGCTTGCGATGCGCTAGGTCCGCTAGCTGTGCAGTTTTGTGCCTCTGGCTGCGGAAGCCCGGTGAAGCTTGCTGTTGTCCTGGCCCATTAACTGGCGGTCCACGTAGGTTATTCTTGGGCTTGGGCGAAGCTACGCCTGGAACCCTATGACAGCTCCTGCAAAGCAGCACTGAGTCTCAAACACGCTGGAAGCTTGTACAACACTACCAGCCCAGACAAAAAAGAGGCTACGAATTCCAGTGACGGCCCGAAACGTGGCAGCTTGTGGAGATTCAAGCATTGTCAGCCCCTCAGACACAGAAGCGACTACATCCTTTAAGACAAGAGCGCGCCGTGAATATCCGTAAGTATGGAAATTACGCCATTAGATCAACAAAAATGTTGTATTTGGGGCGCTCTCTGTTACCCCTGCAGGCCGGCTTCACGACGTTCATGGAGGGGTCCAGCGCCGAAGAGCAGTGTGTCTGCCCCAAGGCAAGCGGCAGCCTTGCTTCTTTTTTGGGCAAAAGGCCTTGCAAAAGGAGAACAGCCGGCAAGAAAGGAAGCCGAGCAGTCTCACTGGCTCGGCAGTCACCTTGCTTCTCCTCTACATGCCCTGCTTCCAAAAGCGAGCCTTAAGCCCTAGAGCTGCCAGACGAAAATCCGAAATCTGCAGCCTCAAACTCCTTAAGCCTCAGACCCTTAGCTCTGCCCCCAGAGCCCGACAAACTACAAGCGCAACAAGAACTAAGTCAAAAGACGTGCCATGCCTTGAAGCACAACTTAGCAAGAACGTCCGCTTGCACTCCCAGATTTGAGTACATCGGAATATGTCCCATATCTACTCTCTTCCAAGCACTAGTCCCCCATGCCCCCGCGACAAGAGAGGATTCCTACAGGGATGGCGACACCTGCACTGCCTGCGGCTTTCTGCAGCTCGGAGTAGCGAAGGGTCTCCGACATAGGTTAGGTTTCGTGCTGAGGTGGGAAGATTGAATGGTTTTTTTTACAATGTAGAGCTTGCTGGTTTCGGGCTTTCGGCTCCAGAAGCTTAGATTTCGCAGGTCAAGGGCTGAGGGCTGAGGATGCAGCAGTTTAGGTCCAAGTTTTCGCTCGCGGACTGAGGTCTGCCTGAGGCAAAAAGCTGAGAATGGATAGTTTGTTTAGAGTTGGGGCTTCGATATGGTGTTGGGGCTTTAAGATGTATGTATAGGCATACATACATATATACATACATATGGTAACCCCGCCCCCCCATGAACTACCGACCCTCGTCTTGTACCGTAAATACCGTATTAAACCAGCTTTTCCCGCAGGTCCGGATT